CACGCCCAGCTAATTTTTGTATTTTTAGTAGAGACAGGGTTTCACCTTGTTGGCCAGGCTGGTCTCGAACTCCTGATCTTGTGATGTGCCAGCCTCAGCCTCTTAAAGTGCTGGGATTACAGGTGTGAGCCATTGCTCCTGGCCTCATCTGCCTAATTTTTGTATTTTTAGTAGAGTTGGGGGTTTCACCATGTTGGCCAGGCTGGTCTGCAACTCCTGATCTCAAGTGATCCGCCTACCTGTGCCACCGGAAGTGCTGGGATTACAGGTATGAGCAACTGTGCCCAGTCAGAGATAACAACTTTTTTTTCTTTTGAGGCAGAGTCTTGCTGAGTCGCCCAGGCCAGAGTACAGTGGCACCATCTCGGCTCACTGCAACCTCTGCCTCCTGGGTTCAAGCAATTCTCATGCTTCAGCTTCCCAGGCAGCTGAGACTACAGGCGCAAACCACCATTCCTGGCTAATTTTTTGTATTTTTTTTTTTTTTTTTTTTTTCATTTTATTTTATTTATTTTATATATTTGATTCAGAATTCAGGACATTCCCTTCAATATTAGCTTTGCATTGCATAATAATTCATCACTGCCTGAACTTATTTCTGTTGAGATAGTAGAGGAAAAAGCTTTGCAGGCTGCTGAACATCCCTACAGATGATAGGGATCTCTTGGAAGATCTCTTGCCCTGGAATTTAGACAAGTTTCTTTCACTTCTCCCTACTTCATGAGAATTCTGTTTTTGTGCTTGTCTTACGTTTGTACCCAATTGTAATCCTCTGACTGCCTTACTAACCTTTGGAATGTTCCTGCAATGCTTACTAGAGAAATTTTTCTTTTTTTCGAGATAGTTTTGCTCTTGTTGCCCAGGCTGAAGTGCAATGATGTGATCTCAGCTCACTGCAACCTCTGCCTCCCGGGTTCAAGCAATTCTGTCTCATCCACCTGAGTAGCTGGGATTACAAGTACATGCCCCCACGCCTGGCTAATTTTTTGTATTTTTAGTAGATACGGGATTTCATTATATTGGTCAGGCTTGTCTTGAACTCCTGGCCTCAGGTGATTTGCCCACCTCCGCCTCTCAAAAGTGCTGGGATTACAGGTGTGAGCTGCCGTGCCCGGCTGAGAAATTTTTTTTTTTAATGAGCAGTGTATTATTATTATTATTATTATTTTGAGGCAGGATCTGGCTCTGTGGCCCTGGCTGGAGTGTGGTGACATACTGCAACTTCCTTGTCCTGGTTTTAGGTGGTCCTCCCACTTCAGCCTACGGAGTAGCTGGGTCCACAGGCACACGCCACCACGCCCAACTGATTTTCCTATATTTAGTAGAGCCAGGGTTTCTACATGTTGCTCAGGCTGGTCTCAAACTCCTGGGCTCAAGCAAACCACCTGCCTTGTCCTCCCAAGTGCTGGGCTTATGGGCATGGGCCACCATTCCTGGCCCAGTATATTAATTTGAAATCATTTTCATTTATTGGGTCTTCTAAGGCTCTTTGGTGGGAATGGATATCAAAATTCATCCTTAGAGATAACTTTTTTTTTGTTAGAGTCTTGCTGTTCCCCAGTCTGGAGTGCAGTGGTATGATCTTGGCTCACTGCAACCTCCACCTCCCAGAGTCTTGCTCTGTTGCCCAGGTTAGAATGCAGTGGCATGATCTTGGCTAGCTGCAACCTCCCCCTCCCAGGTTCAGGTGATCCCCATTCCTTGGCCTCCTGAGTAGCTGGGATTTATAGGTGTCTACCGGCACACTTGGCTAATTTTTTTTTTTTTTTTTTTTTTTTTTTTGAGATGAAGTCTCACTCTGTTGCTAGGCTGG